AGAGGGAGGATTTTGCACAGAGCCATTTTGGAATGCAATTAAACGCAGTACAGTGAAACATGATATCGCCGCCGCCGCTGCCGCCGCCGCTGCTGCTGCTGCTGCTGCTGCTACTTCCCTCCTCCGCATTTCCCTAACCCCTGCTACGCTCCCCTCGCTACCCCTCTTCGCTCCTCCTCCCGCGTAGCACCTGCCGGTGCTCTTTGCCTCGTACCCAAATGCCTTGATGTGCCCAGATACAACAAACAGGGTGCTTTCCGAACGGTCGAGTCCTGACGAGGCGCAAAGTGGAATCGCGCCTCGTCTCGGCGAAATGCGCTTTTATCGCTTCAAAGCGCTTTCGTCCTATGCCGAGTAGATTTAATCCGAGAATTACTTGATTCCAAGCCAGAGCTCAGCGTCGTTTCGTCGCCCGATGCGATTGGGGATGTGCGAAATTATACTCACGAATAGACGATACTTAACGTTAATGAGTAGCATACTTAATTAACGACGATTTAATGCATAAGCATATTGTTCAAGACAAAAGGATTTATTTTCTGTACAAGTTTTAAAATTATAAATAAATAAATAGACTGAAATTACAGACCAACTGTTTGGAATTGGTTTGAATTAGCATGATGATGAGTAGTATTTTAATTGTACATACATACAATGCTCATTCATTTCTATACTTTATTCTTTACAACAATAAAATGCGGCTAAATTCAATTTACTTTTGCGGCTGTCAATAAATGAAGTATATTCGAACAAATATCATCAAATTGTCAAGTGCGCCCTTGGATTTAACAGGAATGAAGGAGGGACGATCGTCCCCGGATTCGTTTTGATAAGGAAGAGCATCATCCCTATTCCAAGGGTCGGGAACTGGAGGACGCACGGAGGAAGAGGGCGAGAGAGAGAGAGAGAGAGAGACAGAGAGGAGGAGAGAAAATGGCGGCTCAGAGGAAATCCGACACCAAATCGAAGGAGACGCCATCGCAAAGCGCGGCGCCGCCCCTTTATCATTGGGTCTTGGCTTCGGCACGGTGTCATCCTCGAGTCCATAAGTTCGCCAAATAATTATCATAATTTTCCTTATATCTTCACACATTTAAAAGTTCTTTCTTCTTTTGATTCACCGTGGTATCAATTAAAGGATTATACCAACTGCGTTGTAACAGATAAAAATTTACATCAGAAATAAATAAAGCAAATCTGAAATTGTTTCTTAGCGAAAAAACACTCTGGTCTAAGAGAATTTTATCTTTATTTTCCGACATATTTAACTGTTAATTGTTACATAAAGAGATGTTTATTTTTTGTTAATTAAATTATTTCGATTTCTTTAACTTACAAGTTCCTTATTTACAAACTAAACAACTTTCAAAATCTTAGAATATCTTTATGTCATCTTTGTATGACATATGTACTACCAATTAGTTAGAAAGACGAGAGTCAAAGGATTGAGGAGGCGTGTCGTGAAAAGATGTCTTCGTTCGTCACTACAGCGGTTCTCTTGATCTATACCTATGGCATGGATTTTTAAGTATCATATTGCCGTTATATGTAGCCAACATTTATGTTATTTTTATCCTGGTATTATTTTTACTCGAACCCATAAGGTTTTAATTAACTTTTAATTATTCTATAGGGAATAATAGCTAGAAATAAATATAAAATTTAACCCTTTTATCCTTGAATTGACTAAGGAATATATAAATGTAGATTTCTTAGATATACTTACTGTAATTAGAAACACAATATGTTTTAGAAAAAAATTGGACACGCGCAGTATATATTTTGTACAGCATATGTTTTAAATAAAAGAATACGATTTACTTTGGCGATATCTAAACATTTTCAGAATCTATACTGTTCAGACATGCTTGAATAATTCTAAGATTTTACCTCAAATATACTCTGCAGTTAAATAGCTAGTTAAATAGCACGTTTATAGTTCTCATTAGTAGATAAAATCCATTTTATATGATTGTTGATATAAGGTAAATATAAGGTAAAATAAGATATAATTGTAAATATATTTAATAATACAAATAATATGTAATAATATTTATGGATACAACATACAAAAATTTAATAAAAATTTTATTTTAATTGCGATAAACAAAATTCAGACCTTCAGGAATTCAAGTAAATATAAATTCAAGCTCCATCATTTGAACTGCCATGTTCGATTGCCGTGTTTCGATTTGCTATTTGAGAATTAAGTAATGTCGTAACATCGATATACTTTTTACATACAAAAAAGATTTAAATTTTTTATTGTGCATGTTTTTATATTTTTTTACTGTATACACTATATACTTTTATTTCATATATCTATGCAAATAAATTATATAATTTAATAAGCATTTAATAAGCATTGTGACATGTAAGTAAAAAGAACACATATCTATTAAATCGTGTATGAAAATTTTTATTTTATGTGTAAAGTTTTGTATACATATACTGCTGATCAATAATAATTTTTTAAAAATATTTGACGATAGTTAATTCGCATTTAAATCGTATATTAATCAGATGTTAGGTGTCATTAGAATTACAAAAGAGGGGTAAACGATCGAAATACATGTGTACAAGAATACGTAACGGTAAATGATATACGTGATAGTTGTGAATGAACGAAACCGATCCTTGAACGTGTACGAGTTCGCATTCGGACCGATCTACAGCTAAAGTTACGTTTGTCGTTGGATCATATTTGCAGAAATGTGTATCATAATACGACTCCAAAGATGAGTTGACGACCTTCGCAGGGGGTTGGAAATCTTATCACGAAAAGTAAATACTTTAAAAGGATTATTTGCCACTTCACATATCATTCTGAACACATGAAGTTTTCCAATATTATTTCAAGATATAAAATAAGGGAACTAAATTAACATATTAAACATAGATATATATATATTGATAATTTAGCGATCGTTTTATACTTTATCATCAGTATTACATTTTGTAACATACATTTATAACAATTAATAAACTGTACTATGAAGTTTTATGTGCTATCGCTCATCTCATGTTGTGCGTGCGTAAATGTGTGTAATAAATTGTCCCAAATGTCACATCTAAGTGATCCATAAACAAATTTATGAAGTATTTCCTTTCATCAAATCTAACGACGAGAGATAGATGATTATTGCCAGTTGTTGTGAAATTAATCAAACACGAGGTGCGATAGCGTCGCGTGATGGAATCACAACACGGTGTACGGTAACGTTGATACGTTCCATTTCCGGTGTTTATTGGTCACACGCGTATTTCGTGATTCCTCGATAGCTCCGGGATAGTGGAAAACAGTATCTGCCGTGCAAAAAATTGCACAAAAATTGCTGAATGCCATAAATTGGAAGCTACGCAATAAGGACACAAATAAAATAAAATCTTTGATAAGCAAGTCTTTCTCACATCTGTATGTGTTATTACAAATTTGAAAATAAATCTTATAAATATGCAAAATAGTAGAAGAGCAATTTTTCATCGATTTGATATATTTATTTTTAATTATTCTATCGAGAATGCAAAATTATATCTATACAGAAATATAGGCTTTCTTACGGTGGTAGGGTGCAAAGATCTGCAAACAAACACGTAACGGAAGGAATCGAGAAATGGAGAGCATGAGGTCAGAGGGAAGAGTCCGGCGCATAATACCATAATTCGTCATTTCAGTTACATAACAAAAGAAATTACGCGTGCCCGAATTGAGGAAGGAATCGTCGAAATCCGATATATCCAGGTAATCGGTCTGCCGTGGAGGTCGCCAGGTGAGAATCCAGCACCGCGTTACGGAGGAATCGGAAGCGTCGCGGGGCCGGCGGTGACGCGGACAGGGTGAAGGCTTCAAACGGTAGGGGGTAGAAGATCGCGCCGCCCCCAGGCTCCACCAATGAACCGGGCGCGATGCTGCACGGCGACCAATCGCAGGGTGGCAGTACGTACCCGCTCCTCGCGCTATTCCGCTGCCGAAATAAAAGAGGAGGACGAGCAGGAAGAGGAGGAGGAGGAGGAGAGAGAGAGAGAGAGAGAGAGAGAGAAGAGGGAGAGAAGGAGAGGAAAAGAGAGCGGTATCGGCATCGGCATCGTCAGCATTGCTACCGGAGCACCACCACAACTGTCGTCGGAGGCGGTCGTACGACCACAATTCAACGACGGAAGCCAGCACGAGACGACGGTTGCGGCTCCGCGAATCATGATCGCCTTACTAACTTGGTGACTTGGTCACTCAGTGAGCGCGTCCGAACGCGATCGAAAGCGTCCCTCCGATCCGATCCGATCCGAGGTCCGAGGATCGATTGCGCGATTGATCGTTTGGTTCGCGATCACCTATTGGCAACCTCCTAAATTCTACTACTCCTCGTGAGACGTGAGAACGCGAATGATCGCGGAAGCTCGACGCGTGCACGCGAGAAGTGGTCGTGACGAAATCCGATGGTGAACTAAAACTCGCACGGTGGTGTGCTCGGAAAGGGGGTCTCTTTACAGGGTCTCTTTACTCGGTTCGATGCCTTCACCGCGGGTGGTTGATTGTTATTAGTGGTTAAGTCACAAGGATTAACCTCAGGTAGCGGATTTTGAAAAGCTCTCTTCGCGGAGAATAAACGGATTAACAATTGGAAAGGACACTTGGAAAGGACGGAGCCCCGAGAGGATTATTGTGAATGTGAGAAATATTGAGCATTATGATTACATAATTTGTCATGAGCCATTGTCGAAATCGAAGAATTCAGACTTGGTTTTAGACGCCGCCGGAACTCAAGCTCACAGTTATTTGCTTACGATGCGGTAATCAAACACCATTTTGAAGGACAAATAAATAATTATTGAATAATTATAAGAAGGAAATTATTGCCATTTGTAGGATTGTATCTATTAGGATATTAATTTAAAAATAAAAATAAAAATAAAAATCTGCAAAAATTTGCTAAAAGCTAAGTAATGGTAATTGTAATTATTCGAAAAATAATCGTTACAAATTCGAATTATTTTTCTGAAGAAGTGATGAAGTGTATGAACCGTCGGATGTATCATGAGGATAGAGTGTCCGCTTGATAAATAAACGATTGTCGCATGCAGAAAACACACTTTTTTCAAAATTAAAGTTTGCAAACAATTTTTGTACCCACAGTCTGCAATTTGAAAATATGTATGCGTATGCTGCAGTAAACCTCGATGAATGAGAATGGAGTCGGGCATCGATATGAATGAAACGTACGTAATTAAACAACCGTCGTGTCGACTCGAACGTGCGAATAACGGATGCTTACTTTCGTCATCGGTTATTCATCCGGTCGATCTATAAAATATATCGGTATGACAGTATGCCGATCTGATGAATGGCAAAAGAGAAAAAGTAAGTTTTTTAAGTATAAGAGAATATATTAATTATAGTCTCCGAACTGAATGTTTTATCATAGAAATTAATATTGCTTGCGATAGAAAATCCAAAGGAAACGATATATGGATAATAGACAAGCATCTACAGAGAATAAAATATATATAAAGAAATAAAATAGATATATATTATGCTCAAGATTCTAGATGAATAATACGTTAATCTTCCTTCATTTGAGACTTGAGATTATAATCGCGATATAATTTGTGATTTAAGATTAAGTAATTATCAAACTAGTTTCAAAAAGAAGTCGCGAGGAAAGTTTGCGCCTTCGAAAAATTGTATGTGCTTGGGCTCGGCGAATGAGCACGGAATCCTGTCTCCTATCCGACACCTGGGTTCATGAGTGACACGCAGCCACCAGCTAAGAATGTCAGATAGTTCGGATCAACTGTCATCACCGAACAGCGACTGCAACAGTCAAATGGGCGTCGTGCATCGCAACGCAACCGCGCAATATAGTAACGCGTCGTCGATGTCTAGCCTCGGGATCACTCATCATCCCCAGAATTTGACGCCGACGTCGAATGGTAGTCCCCAATATTCGCAGGAGCTTTCCACCTGCAGCTCTGCCAGTGTAAACACCAATATTGGGAATATTAGCAGCCTTTCTCTCAGCAGCACCAGTAATTTCACCCCCGAGCAAATATCTTGTATGTGCGAGGCGCTGTCGCAAAGCCAGGACATTGAAAAACTTTCCAGGTGACTCCAAAAAAAAAAAAGGCTTTAACTTTTACACAGGCTTTCTTTATACACATAAAAGTTCTACCTTTACGTTTCTTTCTTTATTCATATTTTTATTTTCCTTTTTATATATATAGAATTCCAAAGTTACAAAATTATACCTTTGTAACAAATATAATTTTATTTTGTACAAAAGTATAAATTTGTTTATTTAAAGCAAACTCCGTGTTTGTGTGCCAGATTTCTTTGGTCTCTGCCTCCTGGAGAACTGCTGCGCGGAGGCGAGAGCGTGTTAATGGCGCGTGCCGCCGTTGCCTTTCACCGTGGAGCCTATCACGAACTTTACTCCATTTTGGAAAGTCACCCTTTCTCGCCACGCCGTCATCCTGAACTCCAGCAGATGTGGTTCAAGTCGCATTATCGCGAGGCCGAGAAAATCCGGGGCCGACCTTTAGGCGCCGTGGACAAGTACCGGCTACGTAAAAAATATCCATTACCAAAGACAATCTGGGATGGCGAGGAGACTGTGTATTGCTTCAAGGAACGATCGAGGAATGCTTTGAAAGAATGTTACATGAGGAACCGATATCCCACGCCGGACGAGAAGAAGAATCTCGCGAAAAAGACGGGCCTAACGCTGACTCAAGTGTCCAATTGGTTCAAGAACCGTCGACAGCGAGATCGCACCCCGCAAACGAGAACGTAAGTCTTTCTTCCCTCTCCCAAAATGTGAAAAAGATCTATACAAATTTTTAAAAATATTGAAAATGGAAGGACATTTAATTCTCAAATATGTATATTCAAATGCGTATAGATAATTGTACTAAACTATTTAATCCAAGAAGATGTTTCTTTGTATTGAATACTTAATAATTGAAATTAATCAAGTTAATAAGTCTTGTATAATAATCTTTATATATATATATATATATATATATATATGTATATGTATAATGTATGCGTGTATATATGTATGTATATGTATAGATCTGACATGTAGAGAAAAAGAAAATTATTCAGTAGCATCCTAATATTTTTAGTACAAATTCTTTAAATTTGTCTCCATTTATAACGTCTGTTTTCATTTTCGTTTCACTCTCATAAAGCGTGACATCATTAGTATCTATAGTTGAAATTCTTTTGTATTACTTTAATAGAAGGTATGTATCCATCGGATTTTCCTATTCTTTGAAGCAACAAGTGTCCGAAGTTGTTCGGACATGTGCCCTTTTCTATTGTAAATATAATAAATTATTTTTATTTTGCATTGTCTTTTCTAATAACTCTACTAATCTTTTTTAAACGAAATTTTATTTTTTTAAATTTTTATACAATGATACAGTTCAGGAATAGCACTAATTTAAAAAATAATGTAAAATAGAAATTTGAACTTTCAGAAAAAACTGAAAAAATTAGGCATAAAAATTTTGTTTTTATGGAATATAAATGAGGAATACGTGGAAAAAAGATTTAATTCTATAACATTTTGCAATAAAAATAATCATAACTACAAAAATTAGATTACATCATTTTCAAGTTTGTATATATGTATACAGATATAAATTATGACGAAGAATTATATTGATGTTGAAGTTGATAATGACTTGAAATTACTAATGACTGATTGAAGAAAATATCGAGTGATGTTTTTCCTCTCGTAGTGAAAATGATAATTGAGTGATGATATAATCGTGAGACATTCCTCGAGGAGCTGGTATTGTTCGGTTCTCTTCTTCGCTCGGATGATTATCTAATCCACGTGCTTATCTAATTAATGTCTGCGTCGTGTTGACGTCCTTTGTGGCGATTATGAGTAGGGGAATAAGGTCGGGCAGCTATGGGTAACACTGGGGTTGTTATATTATGCGTGTGAGGTTCATTGGTAAACGATATACTCAAGAGAAAAGCGGCGGGAGAGACATAAAAAAAGAAATCTAGACGGAGTCACGCTTAGATAATGCCGGACGTGTGTTCAGCCGTTTATTGATATAACAAGGGACGCAAATTACGATAAGATCAGGCAGCGTAGACTTAATCTCTCGATCGAGACGCACGAGATTGAGAGCAAAATTCTTGGAGCGACGCATGAAAGCTATCGAGCCTAGAAAATACCTATTTATTTAACATAATCACACTTTAATGTTGTATTATTAGATAATAATAATAAAAAAATTACATTGGATTATTCATGTGTGCGCGTACACATAATTAACATAATTAACATAATTAAAAAGTAGAAAAAGTTATTATAAAAAGTAAAAGACTTTTTGACTTTATAAACAAAACGCGCGTTTCAATATTATAAGCAATATTACAGCATGCGTTATATTACATTATTCCTGAGATTTATATCTTATTTGAGAGTAAGAAAAAGCTACTTTTACAAGACTACTTTCGATAAGATCTCTTTCTTCACCCGAATCCCTCCGAAAGTGAAGAAAAAAATTTTCCTAGAGCTTACGTGCGCCAAATGTCCACCACTATGTGGATTGGCCTATATCATTTGGAACGTGATCAGTTTGATCCCAATGATGAAACGAAATTTTTATTCAGAGTTAAAATAACTCGGGGAACACTTTCCGTCCGAGCGCCTTTGGGGCGAGAGAGGGACGAAAATTGGCGGCCGGCTCTCTTCAGGGCCCGTCGAGATCGAGAGGCCCCGGGCAGAGAGCAGGCCGTGACCGCCGCACCACCGTAGCCATAACAACGCTGCGTTTGCTCTCTGGCCCGCTCCTTTCTTCGAGCGCGCTCGTAGAAACTGTAGTATAACACACGCACCGCCAGAAATTCACGCGAGCACGCACGCTACGTCACCTCTCGATGGCAGATGGCGGAGGACGGAGGGAATACGCGCGTGTGTGGAGTTAGCCACACAGTTTGGCTTCCACGCCGAAAGATATTCGGCTGACCACGGATGAGTTGTTTTTTTTTTTTTTTTTTTTTTTCATTGAAATTCATCGGTTGGTTTATAAAAGCGCGAAATGCTTTTACAGAGCAAAGTTTATCGTATTCACGCATAATGCGATTTGTTAATCGATGAATTAAAAAAAAAAAAAAAACTCGCCTCACGTCTCTACTTTTGATATCGCCTGTTCCGATCGATTTCGTCGATGTTTTATTCTATATTCCCAAGATAATGGCTGCGTAACAGCGGAAAAAGCAGCTTCGCGATTGTTGTGCGTTAGCTTCCTTTAATATAATTTGTTTATACATTTTGATCCTTGAAGAATTGCTATCAATGCTTTCAGCTATAATATAAACTGCTTTTTACATAAAAAAAGGAACATTACAGAGGAGTGCATGCAAAATTAGGGAAATTTGTGATATAAAATCAATTGTCATCAAACTTGACACAGATATAGCGAAATATGAAGAAATCTAACCTAGAAATCAAATGGCTAAATAAATAAATCAGGAAAATAGATTTGATGGATCATAGCGACGGTGTCCATTTGCTACTCATCAATCTCATTTTGACAATAGGATAACATTGTACGTGAATCATTAAATAATTATCGGCAAACTGAATGTGCGCAAGTGCGGTAATCACTTTAATTATCATTATCGGTTCGTTACATTATTTTCCGTTCTGTTACATCAAAAAGTTCTTTTCAGAGCTCGTAGATTGATCACTTCGAAATTTTCTCAATGTCTTCATATTTTCTTCATTCTCCAAGCTCATGAAGATTACAGAAATGAACATTGACAATGGTGAGGAAGATAAAACCCTGCCAATCACTAATCGTCCATTTTATCAAATTGTATAAACTAGGCATATTCCTCATTCAATACTGTAGATTATAATATTTATGAGGAGTCATTTACGAAACAACAATTATTCTATCGCCAAAGTGTGATTGTATGAGTGGCAAATCAGCACTACAACACTATTCAATTTTGATTAGATTTCTTCATATTTTACCTCATACTATGTCTGTGTCAAGTTTCATGATGATTAATTTTGTACCACAAAATTTTTTCAATTTTGCATTTTTTTTTATATGAATAAATTTTTTATATATTCAGGTTTTAAAGATAATAAAGGCTTAGAAATTTTAGGTCAGGTATGCGATGGGAGGCAACTAATGTTAATCAAGAAAGTTTTCTCGCATAAACAAGTCAGTCTACATTTACCAGTTCTTCAAAGGAATTATTAAAAAGAGATTTCAAAAATTAATCGTACATAAGAGATCGTTGATGTAACCTCCTCCGCTGACCTCATCATTCGCTAGATCATACTTATGCAAAATTATATTATTGTGCGATAATATTTTCGCAGCTTCGAGCAGCTTCTCTCCCTTTCAAGAAAACAATTCTTTTCTTGGTGGCAGAAGAACCATGTTGAACTTCCTCCCCTTTTCTTATCCTTAACGTTCTCCCGAAGGCCCTAGGAAAAGGAAACGCGATGCCCCATTACCGTTTTATGACGCAGCTTCGGTTACATCTCCCGTTTCACCATTGAGCTGTTCGCACTACCAATAGTTTACTACATAAAGGCCACGGCCGGCCCTCCGCCGCTACCTCGATTTATCTTCGCGTGTGCCGCGCAAGAAGAACGAGGAACGCGCGTTTCTTCCTCGTTAGATCGAAACGCGGTGCGCGGCCGCTACCAAGAGAGGTGTGAAAACACACCAGTGTGTTAGCGCATCAAATGCGATTATATCCTTCGAATGTTCACTGTACGATCTAATTTTCACAACATTTTCCGAATACCGTATCACATTACTGACGTGAAAGTCATCACATTGTTCACATTTTAATCCTCACAAGATTTAGACAATCCCAAAGTAATCTCTCCCACGTAATTCAATTTCTATTTCGGAATTGGATCTGGATAATTTACAAAGAAAATATTAAAGTGTCGAAAAATATGAAATGTTTCATGAGCCTCACGAGTTACCGCACTCGCGTCTATTACATCGTAACGCAGGCGACATTAATAGCCTCCCCGAAAATATTATCGAAACGAGCCCTGAAACCTCCCTCCCTCCCTCCCTCCCTCCCTCCGAGCCTCGTGGGTCAGACTCCCATTCGTCGGGACGGAGAAAGGGAGCCGAGAGGCGTTGGGACACAGGACGTAGGGCGTATTTCTTTAAATCCGGACCTTGAGAGAAGGCGCAACCATAAAAATGTGCGGGTCCGACCGTGTTCGCGTTGAGGCGGAGGACCGCCGCACCGGTCTTGCGGGAGCGAAACCGTAGTTATGGGCGGACTGGCCGCACATGGACCACCGTGTGCGTGACGCTCACGCACACCACGGCTCCACCATGGCTCCACCATGCACGGATTGCGTGGCGGGTTTCGCGGTTCGTTTCCACCGGCGGCAACGCCGTAGAACAATACCGAATACGAACAGAAAGTGGTGCTTGCGTCGTCGCCGTCGGTCCTTTCATGCTTTCGTTCCGTTCGGTCTCTACATTCGCGCGATGCGAGAAAGGAAAGAAACGAAAGTGTGTATGCGAAGTATAAGTTTTTCCAAGTTTTTAAAGTCTCTCGAGTCGCTCTTTTATTTCACTTCTTAACTAGGTAGTCAGTTTTTTTTTAATAAGTTTTTTTTCTTCCAGCTTCTTAAAGATAATAATGCACACATGTGACTTGAGAGAAAAAGATATTTCTCTTGGGGGGGAGGGGGGCTTTTCAAAATTTTTTTACATCCTAGAGATTTATCTCCATACGAGGGATATCCTTATGAGGGTCCTTTCAAAAATGTAGAATTATAGAAGGTTCACCTTCTTTAGAAAATGTCCCTTTTTGTTTCTTCGACAATTAAGTGACAGCTAATTTTTTCAGCGAACCTTTTCAGTGTTCGATATCAATAGTGAAAATTTATGATATATGTGACAAAAACTATATATTATCAGTAATGACAATGAACATGAATGAACATATAAGTCCAGATTTTCCGTAAAACCTTAGTTACAACATTTATTTGTCTATCAATTCATTTATAATAAGTTCTTTGTAAAATCGTTCTCTCTCTCTCTCTCTCTCTCTCTCTCTCTCTCTGTCTCTTTCTCTCTCTTTCTCTTTTTCTAAAGTTCTTGAAAAAATTTTTTGTATTTTTAAATATAGATTTTACTATTCCAAATAATTTATGTAAAAAAAATATTTTTGTGGAATTAAGTTGAATACTTAACCATTAATTTGATAATTAATGGTTGAATATCCAATTTAATTTTAAGCATTTGTGAATCGTAAGATAATTATTTTGTTTACTAGAGAAGTACTTGAGATTGGCTTTTGAGAAGTAATAGATTTTTTTTAAAACGCATTAGACAAGTCCTATACAACACATTTTAAGAAAACACCTCGGGAACACTCTTTTATTCATAAGGCGTCTTCTGGATATCTTTAGAGTAGAATATTTCTTGGCGACCTATGCTGTGTATAGAATGTGATCTTCAATATAACTTGCTGTCAAATGCATTGATTTCTGACTCAGAGTTCATTTTAGGGCTATTTTAGGGCAATTTTGGATTTAAGCCAAATGATCTAAAAAAACTCTTTATGTAGATTTTTGAGAGGCGCAAATTTCAATTCTGAATTTATTTTTCAATCAAACGTCTCTTATCAGGACATCAGATTCAGGAACTTTAAAGATTTGATCGATTCTTGAAAAATCTTTTTATTTTTATTAAGCCGAGTGTTTTTTGAAAAAATTCATATCATTTTCCAAATTATCATCCTAGATATTTTTCTTAGAGATTATAAAAATAAGAACGACAAAATACTTTTTTTAAGGAATTTTTCGAGAATATCTTTTAACATTATAAAATTATAAACATTATAAAACGTACTTTATTTACAGAGATATGTTACCACTGAACTGTCAAGGTACAACCAATAGCACAATTAGTAGTTCAGTGAGCAATGGCGGTAGTATACAATCCCTGCAGAGCATCGATTCCGATAGTCCGAATCTTGCGATGTCACCTCTGTCAACTATGGGTATGTCGCCGGTCGCCATGAATTCGTGCAGTCCAATGGGCATGAGTCCTATGGGTTCTCATCATAGCTATGCTACATCCGTTACTCCATCATCAGTTCATAGTGCACATCCTCATAATGGTGGATTAAGTCCTATGAATGACGTTAAAGCCCTGTGTTACGGACGCGGTGTGTATGATACAGGTAAATAATAAGACATTTGAAAAACATTAAACGAAAAGAAATCTTTTCTCGAACGCACTTACGTAATTCAATAATTTAATTTCCATTTTTTTTTTAACTTGTACTTATTCTAGCTTATAACATATATAAGAGAGCTATTTATCAAAATATTATTATAATATCTAACAAATTATCACTTGCGGTAATCGCAGCAACATTAATATAATTTCTTGATTGTTTAAACCTTGATTGTTACTTAAACTTTTCTGGGTTTCGTTTATCTAATTTTCATTATTCTAAATTTGAGGTAAAGATGTGGAGCAGAGCTCGGTTTATTACTCCAGCCATCCCAGTGTGCACCACCAGTATTATCCACAGACCCACCATCAGATGATGTCAAGCTCTCACCATCATCATCATCACCAGCAGAATGTGCCAGCCGGGTACGAAATCATGCTACCACCGCCTCAACATTCCATATGACCAACCGATTACGAAGGTGACCGAAGTAACCAGGGTCATCACGGCCAGAGCGACGACGTAGTGACGCGTATACACGCCTTCGCCTGATCTTTCGGCTTTTCTTTTTCATTCGATTCAAATCGTATATGCAATAAAGAACGGCATACGGACCCATAAATATCGGCGAAACAGACTGTTTTGATGAAACAAATATCGCAGCCATTTTCGGCTGTACTTTTTGCTGGGAAAATGTTTTAAC